AATCGACGTCAGTGTGTAAAATCAACATCAGAATATGGCGAATAATCATCAAGTGCATAGTAAATCGCTATCAAGACACGGTGAGTTGACGATATGGTGAATTGGTATTACGACATGATAAATCAGCAATACGATATTGAAAATCGACATCACAATATGGTCAATCGATATCCCGTACACGTTATAGTAAATCGGCATCAAGACATTGCAATCACGATATAGTGAATCGACATCACAATGTGGTGAAAAAACATTACGATATGGTGAATCGATATCACGATATGGTGAATCTACACCACGATATGGTGAATCTACATCACGATATGGTGAATCTACATCACGATATGTTGAATCTACATCACGATATGGTGAATCGATATCACGATATGGTGAATTTACATCACGATATGGTGAATCTACATCACGATATGGTGAATCAATATCACGATATGGTGAATCTACATCACGATATGGTGAATCTACATCACGATATGGTGAATCTACATCACGATATAGTGAATCTACATCACGATATGGTGAATCGATATCACGATATGGTGAATCTACATCACGATATGGTGAATCTACATCACGATATGGTGAATCAATATCACGATATGATGACGTCGTGGTGAATCTATGCCACGATTTGGTGAATCTACATCACAACGTGGTGAATGAACATTCCGATATGATGAATTCACGTCACGATTTGGCGAATCGATACAACGACATGGTGAATCTACATCATGATACTGAAACTCCTCATCACAGTATGGCAATTGAACATAATATTGTGATTGGACATCACGATGTGAAAAATAGACATCATAACGTGACAATACAAACTTCTACATAAGACAGTCATGAAATTCCACGTGAAAATGCAAAGTTATATTTATTTTTTATGTATTTTACATGGCTTAATTTGTTGGGAGACTAGCTCTACGGATGCTCATCACCACTAAATACAGTTTACAGAGAAAAGAAAAAAATAGTAACAGTACAATCCGTAGACGTATTGCTTAGACATTTACCAACAATTTAGTGTTTTATAACTTCATGTATAGATAAATTTA